ATGAAGAAACATTCAAAGGATGAGTTCCAAATAGGGAAGAATGCGCATCTACAGAATTCCACCGCTAGTCGTCATCCATTGAAATTACTTAGAGTTAATCAACAGGCATTGTCGAATAGTCTATGCTAGAAGCCACCATGTCAACAGAAGCCGGACATTTCGGTTCAATCAGTCGACAGGAAAATCTTAACTGGAGTGAAAACAAATACTGCAGTTATTACTCATCATAAATGTGATGTACACTGATAACATGTGATTAAGTGGCATAATGGAAGGGAATAATAGTCGTTTTTAAATTCTTGAGGATGTATAGGAATAATTAACAAATATTTAAGGATTGGTAAGGAATGTTACAAATTGAATACAGGCTAAAAATCAATAAAGCGTGTACGTAAAAGCTAAATAGTTTAATTGAACAGTGGTCAAAACTGGGGGTCTGGTCAAGAATACATGCAAAAGACAAAATTAGGGATATGTAACCACATATCTGGATTTCACCGTGAATTTATGTTAAGCATGACAAAAACTTAAAGAATTGCAGGCGAAAACTAACAAACTCGCAGAGGAAACTTTTAGCGAACGTACAGAAGACAGAGGTGATGAAGATTACCACACACCATCAAGAACAACAACCAGTACTTGTCACAGCCAGCATAAGAGATCTGAAAGAGGTCACTTTCATCATTTATCTAAGAAGCATTGTTTCAATTACAGGCAGTCGGAAAGGATGAAGGTGTCAAAACCAGCTAAGATAGACCCTTCACCAACCTGAAACCAGTTTGAAAATTTTCTGCATGAACTCTGCTGCATAAAGAACAAAAAATGGATTTTCAACGCAAATGTGAATTCAGTCATTTCGCCTTTATGGGTCAGAAATATGCAGTCAGTCAGCCGTGGAGAAAGAATTAGCAACAAGAAACTCTGGGATCAGACTAACCAGGGACCCATCGTTCAACAAATATACATAAGAAAATGGGCACGGAATTTGTATACGCTGAGGAGACCGTCGGATAACGTCACTTGTCAGGCTATAGTTCGAGTGGAACCCTTCCCATTTGGGAAATGACGAGATGACAGAAGGAAATAGGACAAAGTTGAGACGTGTTGTCAAAGTTCTATGCTCCACTCAGAATTCAATAATTATTACAGTCTGAGCTAATTCCAAGGAAAATGCGGCTGATAAAAGGTGTAAAGTCCCTAAGTAGTGTGAGTGATCAACAACTGTCAGACAAAGGTCATGAAATCGATGCATTAAAATTCTCTAAGATAACAAAAATTCATGACACATCCAGGTTCCAAATTACCACAGAAGCGATCGCCATCAAAACGGCTGAAATTGAATTTAAGTATTCTATGGAAAACCGTTGTTAATCTTGTCTTTATGTTGTGTATCTACCGATATGACTGTTCATGTGGAGCCAGTTAGTTTCATGGTTTGTAATATAAGACTTGTTTATCGTCAGATTTCTGAACATCATCCTGGTTAAGTAAAGAACCAACAGAATCCATTCGTAGCGCTATGTATCTATCTCATCTTGTGGATACACACAGAACACAAGATTGATGTCAAAGAGGTAGCTTTCAAAGTCATTTACCACGCATACTTACCAAGTAATCTTAACTTCGCCTTAAGAGTTCGTTTACTGAATATTGCTGAAGCTGGCTGTTGGGATCCATACTAATAAGCCTAACTTACGTCTCCAAAAGAAGCTAAGTTCAGACATTGTCCTTACCCGCTTGGCCAACTAGGTTTGAATGATTCTCAGTTGTTTGTAGAAACTCTCTGAATTTTAGTTGATATTCTATTTGCTATTATATCTTTATTATTATTATAATAATTTAAGCATCTTTAATGAACTGTAATTCCATTGTGATCCTACTTAACAAATGGATATTATTTAAAAAACGCACTAATATTGTTATTGACTACTAGTCTAGAATATTCCATGTATATAAACACACAGATATATATAATTGTAGAGCAAGAAGAGGAGGAATTTATCGAAAAGGATATTCCCTGCTCAATTTTTCTGCTTTTTCTAGATACGCTTTATATTACTAAATTACTTTTGTTAATTTTGTTATCTTAGTTATATTTTTCTTTTTGACAGTGTAATTTCCTATCCAAATTTTGTCTTTTGCCTATATTCCTGCCCTGACCTCAGTATAACTAAATTATTTGACTCTTATATAAGTTTATTGTTGGTTTTACACCTCTCTCTTTAGTTTGTAACACTCGTTCACAATTCTAGAATGTTTCTTAATTATTTTTTATGCATACATAACGTCCCGAATCGGGATTGTGAGAAAAACAACGATAACAAAGCTTAACACTGAGGAAGTCAATAACCAATCATAGCAGACTTTGTGTGTGCAAAGATGATTCATAGATAAACGACTCAGCTTTCTGAGAAATGGTCACAAGCAGTACAGAATAACACCCAACACAGGAAGACAATCAATTAGAAGACAATGCTTCTCTGCTAACAATAATGCTAATAATAACGCATATAAACGATCTGTTTCCTGGCCCTTGTCGTCTGCCGTTACAGTACCATTGTGGATAAAATGTTTTACTGTGATAAAGTCTGATGATGTTATACAGTAATATTTACTGATGACCACCTTTCCAGCTCAACGTTTTGCTAATGTTTTTTAATGATGAGGGTAATCTGATAATTTATTTACTTCAATATCTCGTTAATATATATTTCTTGTGCGTTGAAGTTTCTCTAGCAGTTTGATAGCTTTGGTGGTGTAGGGTCGATAGCCTCAACCCTCTCCCTCTTTATCCGGACATGGGACCGGCCAAAAATGTCAAGCTAGTAGACCAACAGCAACCAGCAGCAGTCACCATCAACATGAGAGTTTTGAAAGATATAACTTTCATTTATTATGGCTCAAGGTTACTTCCTTCACTTGTCTAGGAAGCATTGCTCCAAACACAGACCAGTGGAACGGATGAAGATGTGAAAGATAGGGTGAATCGGAAAGGCAAGATACGCCTTCGTCAACTTGGAATCAGTTTGGAAATCGTCTACACTGACACAACTTCGAGAATAAGATTCTGATTCGCAATACCAAGGTGAAGTCAGTCAGTTCTTCTAAATGGGTCACTGTGTGTCACAAAAACGATTTCCAACGAGTTACAGAATTATATAAGCAGTTACCCCCTCGCCGGCTGGCTCCATCTTGAAGATCAAGTAGCCAACCAGCCGGCAAGGAAGAATTAGCAACAAGAAACCCTGGTTGGGAACAAACCAACCAACAGCTAGTCGCTCAACAAATTCACCGGAGAAAACAAAGATGAATCTATCACGCAAACGTTGGGGAGGCCATTGAATAACATCGCGCAGAATGCGGGCCGTCGCTCGAGTGGAATCCTAATTGGAAGCGACGAGTAGTTCATCACATAGAGTGTGACATGGAGGAGATCGTGTGGCGAGGAGAAGGAGATAAGAGATTGTGGGAAGTCTTAGACCCATTTGCAGAGGATAGCAGAAAACAGAATAAAGTGAAGATGTGTTCTTGAAGCCCTTTACTCCACTCGGAACTCAAAGTAATACTAATAATAATAGTAATATAAATATTTGAAACTCAGTGTATCGATATTTCCATGCAAATTGTTTTGGTGGTACTTGGCGTGGGCATCAACGGTGCAGTGGAGTTACATTCAGTTGGTGAGTCGCAAACAGGACGAAGCGTACATCCCCTGATAGTCACCATTCAATTCAATCTGTCGATATATCGTCTAGACCTAAATTTAAATCCATTAGTTTCGTATAATGGTCGACACTATTGTAGTCAAACTACTGTAAAAAGCAAGAGTTGTAGCAACTGTCAGAGTTCTTATTTCGATTGTGTAGACTGATATGTTTAAATAATTGGCGATTTGAAAAATATACCGTAGGCATCATTGGATGGTCCTGACTCTGTGTGCACCAACATCAAGGATTAGAATCATGATGTTGGCTACCATTTAGCGCTTAATCAGTGTCTCTGCAAGATGGCGGATACGCCTTGCTGACGACTACCAACAAACTCAAAAATTAGTTCAAGGACTTTCTGCCAACTGCCTCCAACCATCGAACATACTTACACTCATCAGAAAATGAACCTCTTAAGTTCACGCAACTCTAGTTCCTTCGGAGTTTCCAAACACTCTACTTTCTTCTAAAGTCAGATACATGATTGACGAGTTATTCCAGCCAGCTTGATCACCTCAAATAAAATATCCAGAGTAGGTGCAAACTAATTGGTTAGTTAGCTACTCACTTTAACCAATCATATTCGATCATATCACGGTCATATGCAAAACCAATCATAAAACTCATAATTTACTCACCTTGAAATGTTTTTGTAAATCATCCACATGACGAAATATTGATTTATCAAAGAATACATGTTCATGTTTTCCTAAATCAATAATTCCCCATAATTTAGCTACATGAAATATTCTTCCACAACGATTTGTCAGCGTTCGAACACCATTAGCATCACTTGATTTTGATGCTGTAATAATAATATTAATCATACGATTTAACCGTCGATTACACACTGCAATATTATCCTCAATTTTGACACTGTTGACTGTCTGTTTCTGTTTCTCAGTGTTAGCGCTGTCAACAGCGGGTGTCTTTTCATCGTTATCCACGCTAACTGGTTTCAATTCAAAAAATAAATTATGTTGACTTAAAAATTCTTCCAGTTCAATTTTTGTCCAACCAATTGTTGTTTGAACTGCTTCAGGCGCTTTAGTTGACAAAATTGCATTAGGTTATGAAGACTTAATCCTGACTGTCCTACTGCACCTCCTTGTTTCTCCAATACCTTACGTAGGAACATTATGGCTCGATATTCATTTGCAGTCATAGTTAAACTTAAACTGTTGACTGTAGTACTTGACAGGGAGTTGGTAATTACAGAGGTATCGTATTCCGTTGTCATTGTTGATGATGTAACACCATTATGATGATTATGATGAAGACGTGGGACAGGGTTACTGGCTGATTTCTCGTTAGCCACCTTATCTACTTGGCTGTGATTACTGTCTGCGAATACAAGATTTGCAGTGGTAGGCGTTGTTGGCGCTGAATTTATATTATCTGATTGTATTAATGATCTAGCGGACGGAGTAGCCGTTGAACTATTGTCAACAGCAAAATGAGCTGATCGACGATAATGATTACTACTGTTAGTTGAACGTTGAATTGATGAGGGTACATAGGAATTGTTAACGTCGGCTAAATGTCCAAAGGTCATCATATTAGGCAATATGAGTGATTTAGGTCTTGGATTCTTTCATAAGACATATTCCTTGATACATAAGCTGGTGAATTCGATATATTTGTCGATGAATGACTTGCATGTACAGCTGACAATCGGTCACGTGATCTTTTTAGTGGAAGTCCACCAAGTCCAGTGGTAAGAAATGGCTCTTTAACACTGACCAATTCACCTTGTACTTCAAACACGTGTGGATGTTTCAGAAGGAAACGTCGAAATTCTAATTGTGGACCGACAATAGCACGTACTTCAGGTGTTGCTTGAGATAGATGACCAGCTAGACTTTTTATCGGTACCCAGCGTTCTTCACGTTTAATTAACTTTTGCTGAAAAAAGTGAACTGCTTCACTTTCGAGGAATAATTTCTCCATAGGTGGTAGAGAATAAAAGTTTGGTAAAAGTACAGGAGGTGATCTTAATGATGCTTGTGCTGGTATATGATGAAGCGGGTGATGATAGTGATGAAAAGAGGATGCGGTAGGAGTTAAAGCAGTGGGTGTACAATGGCAGTGGGTAGAAGTGTGATGATGCGCTGTAGTACAGTGATGTGTGTGATGACAAGCCAATTCTAGGAGTGGACAGTGTATACACGTTCCACTGGCTACTGTAGTTATCTCATGATGATTCGTTGGGTGATTACTGCTATTACGATTGGTGGTAGCAGCAGGATTTGATGAGCACAATTCACAATTCGATGGTATTATCAACTGTGATGACTGATCTAAATTGCGTAATTGTGGAGGTGTGTAGATATTTGATGGTTTTGTTCTCCCCGCTGGAGGATTCCCCGATGATAAGCTATGCGGTGATGGATTACTGGTACTATTACTAGTATTCGTTGTGTTATTGTTACTATTGACGAAATTGTTTGATGGCTTTTTACGTCCAAATATATGATCGCTTGACGGCGTATTCAATGGACTTCCCGACTGTGATGATACCAACGATAAGGAACTTGTACTATTCAACCTGCTTGTCGTGTTATTCGTAGAATTTTGATGATGTGTATTACTGGAGGTATCTGTGCTTATAGAATTCAATTTTCTATAAGGTGGAAAACGATTATAAGCATTTTCTTTCTGTAAATTATTTCCCGATGGACATGTTTTAGACGAATAAGCAGAATTGACAGCAGCAGGTGTTAGATTTCGAAATGATGTAGAAATATCTGAAAGATTATCACTCATCGATTTTTGACCATTTTCTTTTAAAGAACAACTTTCTTGATCTGATAAACTATCAAAATTTGAATCTAAGCCGGGTAGTTCAATGGCGACCGATGTCACTTGTCCATTCGGTTTTACATTGAATAAAGATGGATAACGTTGTAGAAATTCTTTTAAACCTTCAGCACTTCCACCACCGCATGCTTCACGCATTTCTAAACTGAAAGATTTATGCGAAAAACGTGCTGCCAATTGATCAACTGTTATCGGACTATCAGAGTTCATTAACACTTCAAGAAAGTATAACATTGCTTTATGACTTGGATCATTCATCATTTTGTATAGAAATACTTCTCTACGCTTTAAATAATCCAGACATGTTGCAGCATCTATTCAACATTGAATTGGTTTTTTTTATTTAAATGAATATTGAACATTGAACGTACATTGTCGCCGGTATGTTTGAAGTTGACATAAAATATACAAAATAAAAGGAAAATAAATGACATGAAGTCAGTTAAAGTTTGTGAAATATATTCCTAGTAACAATAATAATAATATTTATAAACTTATTAAAAATAACATAAATACTGAAAAAAGAAACAAAACAAAACAGTCATTAATTAGAAGGTGTAACCAATGTCAACGGGATTGACAATTGGCTAATCTTAATTATCCAATCAGTTTAATTAGCTAAGAGTTTTTATTTAGACTGTCTCTAGATTATTGATTTTTTCTTGTAAGATCAATTTTAAATCTCGCCAACAGCATTTCTGTTATTCTCCCATTTTTAGAAACACCAAAAGTGAGTACAATACATATGTTGTAGTCATGTGATGAAGGTCACAAAAAGAGTTGTTGAGTCATTTTATTAAAGTGAAAATCCCTCATTTTTCTACTGTCTGTTACTTGAGTGACTGAACATTCGTATAAGGCATCATTATGAATTATTTATTAGTATTACAGGGAATCTAAAGTACACACAATTGAAATAATTATTGAAAAATGGACAAGAATGCTTTGTGTTTGTGCGCGTACTGATAGACATTTGTGTTTCTTGATTAGCATTTATAATAATAATTACAATCTAAGGAATGTAGAGATGAGTTGCATTAGCTAGTTAAAAAGCCCGCCGTCAAATATGTGCGCGAAAAAGACATATTCAAGTACAAAATTAATTTTAAATCTGATTTACAAACATATATATGTGTATCAGACCACCCATTAGTAGCTTACTGTTGTCAGTTAAAAAAAATATGTCCAGACAGATCGATAAATGGATAAGTAACCTGTCAGTCTCATGAATTCATAGTTGTATGTGACATGGTTTGTTCAAACCCCATCTTTAACAAAAGTCTATAGCTTAGATAGCGTTAACACTATTGGTCGTTTCAGTAATTATAGCATCAATAGAAGCTGCCTTTGCTTTAAGATTGAAGATCAAATGAACGACTGGAAACGACAACAAACAACGAACTTTATGACAACGTTTCAAGAAACAAGTTATTACTCAGCAAATATAAAAGAATTGAAAATGCAGATGGAATGAGGTAAAATAACGGAATATCAAATACTGGGTCCTATGATGAATGATTTTATTGTAGGGGCCGGTATATGTCAGTCACCTCTCTATCCCAACTTCATTGACTTTGAAAAAGCCTTTAGCACACAGAGTCGATCGAGAGGTGATTTGGCAAATAATTCGCTATTATGGGGTGCCGCCAACAGTTATACACCTCATCCAACGGCTGTGCGACAGTGTTGCATGCCAAGTAATCCACAAAAAGAAACTCAAGGAATTCTACGAAGAAGTGAAGAAGGAGTAACACAAGCTGGCCGCATACTACCTTCAATGATTTTCCTGATTGCGGTAGACTGTGTAATGCGACAGAGAGCAAGAACTGAGGGATCGGGCATAAAATGGATCCACACAAAACCTTGGAGGATCTGAACTTCGCCGATGACATATATGTCTGATTTGACACAAACTGGAAGATATGTAAGTGAAAAACAATAAGTTGGCGACAGAAGAAGCATTAAAGATAGAACTTTTGGTGAACTTAGGCAGAACAAAGGTGATGAAGATTCCTGGCCAACAACAGCACACAACAGTCAGCATTGTACGTCGGTGTCACAGTGGTTAGGACTCTCGCCAACCATGCACACGGTCCGAGGTTCGATCCTCTGCCGATGCACACCTGATATCTATGGTCGGCCTGCTAAATTTGGGCTACCGATATCACATGCTGAAAATTACATAATTGTACCCAAAAAATACAGTGTGGAATCAATCTGTAAATCAAAAATAAAAAAAAATAAAAAATCAAATAAATGGGAGAAATCTGAAAGAAGCAACCGCATTCACCTACCTTCCTATCTAGGAAGCATCATTTCAACAAAAGGCGAGCGGAACTGAAAAAGATATCAAAGTTATAATCGGGAAAGCAAGGTAAGCTTTCACTACTCCGAAGTCTGTGTGGAAGATATCGACAGCACTCAGCATAAAAATGAAAATAAAATCCGGATTTTTCAACTTGAATGTGAAGTCAGTACTACTCACTATACGGATCACAAACTTGGCGACGCTTCATGACGGTCACTTCAAACGAATTAAGGACCTTCATCAACAGCTGTATTCAGTCAACACTACTAAAGATCGGATGGCCGACCAGGAAAGATCGGCAACAGGGAAGGATCTCTGGGAGGAAACCAACCAGAAACCGATTGGGCAACAAATATACAGGAAGAAATGGAGGTGGATTGGCCATACTCTGAGAAAACAAACCATCGAGTGAGTGACATCATACGCCAGGCAATAAACCAAGTGTAACCCGAATGGGAGGGTGACATGGAAGAGTGCATGCGAAGAGGAGATGAAAGCACGTGGGTAGAAGTGGAGCCAGATAAAAATGCCGGCGGAGAACCAAACGCAATGGAGATGAGCAGCTGAAACCCCATGTTCCTCTAGGAACTAAAGGAAACAATAAATAATAATAATGAATGAATCTCGGGTCTGGTTAGGACTTCTAGTATTCCAGGCAATAGTTCATGTTTGGAAGGAATAAGAGCTATTTGAGCAGTCATGGAGCAGTTTGAAAGTGACAACCAAAAACTAAGTTCACTGAACCTGTGCTGCTGAAGCACACCTTTCCTCTCAGAAGGCAAAGAATGATATGTCGAGTACAATTTATTGCTCAAAATCATATCAATGTATTCACATGACTTGATAACTTCTGTTCGAAAGGTGATTCAGTTATTTATCTACTGTTTTGCTGTGTGTGGGTGCTATATATCAAATAAATTTATCCAATATGAGAACAAACCAACCAAGAACCGATTCCTCAACGCATATGTAGAAGAAGATGGATATGGATTGGGCACAAGCTGAAGAGACCATTAGGTGACATTGCACGCCAGGTCATCTCTTGATTGGAACTCAGTCAAAGTTAAACTTTAAGGATCACTAACCACCAATCAGCAAATGACCTCGAACTCACCAGTCACGTGAATGAGGCACTTTTTGTATGGAATATATATATATTTATGAAATAATGCACAAAACTTTCACATGTGATAAAAATAGCTCTCAGTTTTAGGTTGGAGTATCACCAGATTATAATCCCATTGTGAGTAAAATTTATTAACTCATGGAAAATTCTCATTGTAACATTTAGAAAATCAAAACAAGTGATTCACCGAAGAGACTCTTTTCAACGAATTTATCATCAAGCTGTAAAGTCGTATGTATATGATTTTTTTTAATAAGTTATATCCGGTGAGCTGAAATCCTCGAACCAGTCAGGGGGCAACTATCTAATCATTCCCTTCGGGACACCTTCCAATTTGTTGAATGTATACAGGATATAAATGCGTCGAATAAACAAATGTTGTCTTTGGATGTAGAATCCTTATTTACGAACGTTCCACTGACAGAGACCATATGTTTTATATGCAAATATATTGAAGACAACAAATTGAACATAGGGATACCTACTACAGATCTTAAAGAACTACTTTTGAGATGTACATTGAATGTACAGTTTACTTTCAATGAAACAATCTACAGGCAGAAGGATGGTATTGCGATGGGTTCTCCCTTGGGTCCTCTCCTTGCAGACGTTTTTATGTCCAGTCTAGAAAATGGTTCCCTGAAGCCTATGATCCAAAGCTTTCAAATATATAAAAGGTATGTAGATGACACCTTTATTATTTGTAATATTGATTGTAACCTGAATAATATATTAAGTGTATTTAATGAGTGCCATCCTGCGATAAAATTCACACTCGAAATGGAGAACGAGTCTAGCATTCATTTCCTCGATGTGAACTTATCAAGAAGGACCGATGGAACTCTGAAGAGATCGATTTATCGTAGGCTGTTATGGAATGGTCAACTGACAAATTTCTATAGCTGGGTACCTATTGGTCGAAAACGAAACCTGGTCCGGTCGCTTGCCACTCGTATTCGGCGCATATGTAGCACTGATACTGTGGAAGATGAGTTATACACTTTGAGGAAAATCCTAATGGAAAATGGATTTCCACCACGTTTTATAGATAAGAATATACATTCAAAGCCTACAAAACGTGACTTATCAACCGCTCCCAAGAAAATACTTTACATGAGCTTAGAATTCAAAGGGGACTTAGCTTCCGATATCATGAAACGAAGGATATCACAGTCCCTGAAAAGAACATTCCCTGCTGCCTCTCTGAGAATAGCTTTTACTAGCCGACCATTATTGTTCAATAACCTGAAGGACAAGATCCCAATGTTGACCAACTCTATGTGCGTTTATCAATTCACCTGCTCTTGTGGAGCTAGGTATATCGGTCGTTCGACTCGAGTTTTGTCCAAGAGGGTGCAAGAACATTATCCTGCATGGCTACGAAAAGGTGGAAGTGGAGCAATAAGAAGCGCGATCATAGAACATCTGGTCGAAAATGATCACCCTATCTCTATAGCCTCCGCCTTTAAAGTCATCTACAAGGCAAAGAGCAATCTACCTAAATCCCTACGTACCCGACTCATCTGTATTGCTGAAGCTTTGGCTATCGAAACAGAAAAGCCAGATCTCTGTGTACAGAAAAAGTTCGTTCAACCCCTCCAACTTTCATGGTCTTAATCCCTCTATGCTAAAATATGGTAATCCCCAATCATATTTTAGCTCTACCAATTTTTCATTTTGTCTATTCAATTTGTATACTCTTCCTTATTAAGTCAATTGTTATTATTACTATTCTCACTTTGAACTGTCCCCGGTATTATTTCACTTGTTCCACTTGTCATTCTAAATCAATTCTTTTTTACAACGATAAATTCTATGCTATTAAAT